ATAATTTTCAGAGAGAAGTGTGATTTACAGGTTGATGGTGTCCTTCTTTAAGCTGCCAATTCTTATCTCCATAGGTTACGTCTACATAGCCGCGTTATTTCAAAATAACAAAATGCATGTCTACAGAGCAAGTCATTATTTCAAAATCAATTGAGATGGAGGTGGTCTTACTCCAACTTCTGTAACCCTCATTTCTCGAGGAGTTAGGGAAATCGATGGAAGAATGTTCTTCCTTTGATTTCTTGCTGTGTAGACAGCACCAAAAGCCGAATTAACCTATTTCAACTTCAGCTACACAATTGACATAGCTGAAGTTGCATGGCTTAATTCAACTTTTGCGCTGCTGTGTAGACGTGCCCATTATTCCCCAGCTAGGTTGCTTTCTGCTTTATTCTCCTACATAATATGTTGCCTTCTCTCATTTCCTGCTTGATGTCACATGGGGAACCTACACATTGTCCCTTCCTCAGATGTGCATCTTTGTGAAGCAAAACCATTAATTCCAATGCGTATAGTCCCTCAGACTCAATGCCTGTCAACCAGACATGATCCAAATCTGATTAAGCTCCATAGGAAGGACTCTATAGGGTGTGTCTAGACTACATGCCTCTGTTGACGGAGGCATGTAGATTAGACAGATCGGCAGAGGGAAATGAAGTCACGATTTAAATAATCGCGGCTTCATTTAAATTTACATGGCTGCCGCGCTGAGCCGACAAACAGCTGATCAGCTGTTTGTCGGCTCAGCGCGGCAGCCATGTAAATTTAAATGAAGCCGCGATTATTTAAATCGTGACTTCATTTCCCTCTGCCGATCTGTCTAATCTACATGCCTCCGTCAACAGAGGCATGTAGTCTAGACACACCCTATAGAGTCCTTCCTATGGAGCTTAATCAGATTTGGATCATGTCTGGTTGACAGGCATTGAGTCTGAGGGACTATACGCATTGGAATTAATGGTTTTGCTTCACAAAGATGCACATCTGAGGAAGGGACAATGTGTAGGTTCCCCATGTGACATCAAGCAGGAAATGAGAGAAGGCAACATATTATGTAGGAGAATAAAGCAGAAAGCAACCTAGCTGGGGAAGGCTTTTCTGAATTCCTCTGCATCTACAGAGGATTCCAGCCTATGAAGCATGTGATGCAAAAGGGCTTAAAGCAAAGTGCACAAGTAACTTGGTGATGGTTTGGTTTTGTTTCTTTGAGATGGTAATTACATGAAGGCTGTGTCCAGACTCAGGGGTTTTTTCGAAAAAAGTAGCCTTTTTTCAAAAAAACTTCACCTGCGTCTAGACTGCAGCTGCGTTCTTTCGAAATTAAATTGAAAGAATGCGGCTTTTCTTTCGACGGTGGTAAACCTAATTCCACGAGGAAGAACGCCTTCTTTCGAAAGTGCTCTTTCGGAAGAAGGCGTTCTTGAAAGCAAACAGGCTTTTTAGAAAGAGAGCATCCAGACTCACTGGGTGCTTTCTTTCGAAAAAGTGGCTTGCTTTTTCGAAATTCCGCGTGCAGTCTAGACGCTCTCTTTCGAAAGAGGCTTGCAGTCTAGACATAGCCGAAGTGTTAGGTGAACAGTCCATGTATCCTTTCAAGCACTTACCTCCCTGTAAAAAGCCAAAAGTAAATGTTAACTACAATTACCAACTTTTTAAAAATTCATCTTTGTGGATATTTTTAAGCCAGCTTCTTTCCAAATAATTAGGTTTGATAAAAACAGATAAAACTGATGGAGTTTTTTATTATCCTGGCAAGTATTACTAATGAAGGCTTATTTTAAATCATAGAATCATAGGACTGGAAGGGACCTCGAGAGGTCATCGAATCCAGCCCCCCGCCCTCAAGGCAGGACCAAGCTCCGTCTACACCATCCCTGACAGATGTCTATCTAACCTGTTCTTAAATATCTCCAGAGAGGGAGATTCCACCACCTCCCTTGGCAATTTATTCCAATATTTGACCACCCTGACAGTTAGGAATTTTTTCCTAATGTCCAATCTAAACCTCCCCTGCTGCACTTTAAGCCCATTACTCCTTGTCCTGTCCTCAGAAACCAAGAGGAACAAATTTTCTCCTTCCTCCTTGTGACACCCTTTTAGATATTTGAAAACCGCTATCATGTCCCCCCTTAATCTTCTTTTTTCCAAACTTAACAAGCCCAGTTCATGAAGCCTGGCTTCATAGGTCATGTTCTCTAAACCTTTAATTATTCTTGTTGCTCTTCTCTGTACCCTTTCCAATTTCTCCACATCTTTCTTGAAATGTGGTGCCCAGAACTGGACACAGTACTCTAGCTGAGGCCTAACTAGTGCAGAGTAGAGCGGCAGGATGACTTCACGAGTTTTGCTTACAACACACCTGTTGATACAACCTAGCATCATATTTGCTTTTTTTGCAACAGCATCACACTGTTGACTCATATTCAACTTGTGGTCCACTATGACCCCTAGATCCCTTTCCGCCATGCTCCTTCCTAGACAGTCGCTTCCCATCTTGTATGTATGGAACTGATTGTTCCTTCCTAAGTGGATGCCATCCTTTCTTCTGATACTATTATTGGATCATATACTAGGCCTGCTTTAATTTTTTTAATACACAATAAGGTTTAATGCAATGTTAAAGTTATTATATTTACCTTCCTTCTATTAACTGCACCTAGGAAGAATTAACATTAAACTTCAGCAGCTTTTTTATATACCTGACATTTTTTATTTTAATTTTGTCTCATTTTCTATTAAGCTTTAACACAAAAAAGCAGTTTCCCCAATATAGTGCGCTTCATAGATTGTTTCATAGGGTCTATTCCAGTATAAAGTTTATAATAAATGCAATGATTTTTAGTCTCTTTGGTCCAAGTAAAAACAAAAACATGTTATATTTCAACTGATATTTCAACCCTCCCTCCTGCCCCTCACATTTTAACCTGCCCTTCTAATGAGTTGCTAAAATGATATCTATTTGTTTATCAATTGATTTGTGTTTGATGAATGCCTGTCTTTAGCTGCCCGTTATCCATTGCCATAACTGGCTTCTCACTCAGGGATGTTCCAAATAAGCTGACATAAGCAGAAATAAGTTCAATACTGAATAGTCATTCCTTGTTATTTTGATTTGCAATGACCCACCACCTTCACTGCCTCATTAAGATGTTAAGAATGACTTCTTCTGTTGTGCTGATTTTTCAGATCAGTTTCAATTTCTAGTGGACATATTTATTCAATCCCCTTAATTTAACCTTTCCTGAAAACTACCAGGAACAACACTGGAGTAACTTCCAATCAGAAGAACTAATGAAACTTTTTAATGATTAGCCTTAAAAACTGTGTAAGACTTTTCCAACCTGGAAAACCTCATATTAGTCTGACTTATTAGACATTGCTGAATTTAATGACAGTCTCTCAGAGATCCAGGAAGTTGCTGTAGTACACTGACAAGATGTATGTTTCATCCATCTGTATTGTGCTGTCCATGAGAGGACAACAACCTTTGACTCCCAACCAAATGGAGAGATCTGTTAGGTTCAAGCAACACAGATATGTAATGCAGCACTGAAATTCCCAGATTTCCAGTGAGCTCCCACATTTGAGTTGTTACATAGCACACCAGTTTTATATTCAAACATGGAAGTTTTTGCCACTTTCTCAAGCAATTAGTATTTAAATGGTGTTGGAGACGGTGCCATTTCTATTTTCATCTTGGAGCTACTGTTAAATATTATTAGGTTCTGTCCTTTTTAGAGCAAACTCCACCCCCACAGTTCAGCTCTCATTCCAAGTTTCCCCATAGTTTGTGATGATGTTTGAGTTCATCAACAGTAGTTTTGGATTATTACTTTATAGATGGGGCCAGCTGCTAAGGGCAAATACGGATTCATAACTGAGCTTTCCCAAAGTTTCCAAGATATCTGGACTGATGTTCTACTTTAAATTTACCTCCAGTTGGCAAGCATGTTCAGAACTAATTCCCAAGCATGATTCTTCCTGAGTAGTGATTAAACAAAATTGGATTTGACATAATTATAGCATGTCTATAACAATGTATCAAGCAAGGACACTTTTCAAAATCCTTAATTGAAGCTGTGCCATCCAAAATGCATAAAAACAACAACAAATGAATTCTGTGGAATGGTTTATTCAGTTTGTAAAGGTGTCGACTGTGGGACAAATCATATTACACCTGTATGTGTATTTAAGAGCTGTTTAAATAGATTGTTACAAGATACTGTGCATGTGGAACTAAAGCCAAACTTTCAAAACTGCCCACCAATTTTGGATGCATCAGTTCTTGGATGCCTCGCTTTGATACAGCTAGGACTTAAATTTCAAAAGTGCTGAGCAAGTCTGTTACTAGTGTAGGAGAGGCCCCACTTAGTCAGACTAATGGTCCATTTAGCCCACCATCATGTCTTCTGACAGTAACCAAGGCCAGATGCTTCAAAGCAGAGCAATTTATCAAGTGATTCATTCTTTGTTGCTGAGTCCCAGCTTTTGGTTGTCAGAATTTAGGGAAACCCAGAGCTTGAAGCTGCGTCCTTGACTTAACTAATATCCATAGATTGCCTATCCTCCATGAAATTATCCAATTCTTTTATGCACCCAGTTTTACTTTTGGCCTTAACAATATCCACTGGCAACAATTTTGTTAGTCTTTATGGCACTGCAGAACTCCTTGTTGTTTTTGCTGAAACAGACAAACACGGCTACCTCTCTGAAATTGTAAGTTAACCATACACTGTTTGAAATATATGTCCTGATGTTTGATTTTAAACTTACCATCTATTAAATTCATTGTGTGTCCCTTAGCTCTTGTGTGATGTGAGGTGGTAAAGAACACTTCCTTTGTCACTTTCTCTACACCATGATTTTATAGACCTCAGTCATAATCCCCCATAGTCATCTCCTTTCTAAGATGAAGAGTCCTAGTTTATTTAACCTCTCTGTATATGGAAATTTTCCATAATCAATCATTTCTGTTACCTTTCTCTCTATTTCTTTTCCAGTTCTAATGTACCCTTTCTGAGATGGTGGTGACCAGAATGGCACACAGTATTCAAGGTGTGAGCATTTATATTTCTGTATTATGATATCTTCTGCCTTATTATCTGTCCCTTTCCCGATTGATACTCATTTGATTAGCTTTTTTGCCTGCCATTGCACACTGAGAAGAGGTTTCCAGAGCACTATCCACAATGACTCCCCAATCTTTTTCTTGAGCGGAAAAAGCTAAATTTATGCACCCATTCTTTTTGTGTGCATCACTGGAATTATGTTATCCAGTCTGCATTAATTTACACTTATCAACATGGAATTTCATCTGCCATTTTGTAGCTCAGTCACCTTCATTTTTTTCCCCAAAATGCCCTCTGTTAACACATCAGCCTAAGACAGTTCCTCATATTTATCACCATAAAAAGTACAGCTCAGGTGTGGAAATCTCCCTCACTGTCCTATGAGTGAAGATAGATGCAGAGTTCATACAGCCTTAATTTCCTTGAGTGTTCCTCTAGCACCCCAATCGTCCACTGATTGTTTGGCAGGCTTCTTGCTTCTAATGTACTTTAAAAATATTTCCTGTTAGTTATGTCTTTTACTAGTTTCTCTGAATTGTTTTTTTGCCTGCCTAATAATACTTTTACACTTTACTTGACAGAGTGTATGCCCCCTTCTATTTTCCTAAGTAGGATCTGACTTCCAGTTTTTAAAGGATGTCTTTTGTCTCCAACCTTCGCATTTACTCTGTTTAATGATGGTGGAATGGAGGCTTTTATTTTGTGTTTGTCATCTTACTGTTGTTCATAGTGTTTGCCTCTATTATGGTGTTTTTAAAAGGTTTTATTCAAATTGTGGGCCTCCATTTTCCTATTTGAGTTCACTGGGGTCATTTACAAACTAGGACCAAATTAACTCCATTGTGGGCTGATTCTTCAAAAGTGGTAACACCAACAGTTTTACTTAAGTCAATAAGGGCAGGTCTACACTATAGGGAAGATCAACGCTGCCACAGTCGATCTTCTGGGGTTCAGTTTAGCGGGTCCTCTATCTTACTTCAACCATCTGATGTGGCATGGACTAAGAGCTTCAGAAGCAAGGTAGGTCGGCTGAGTGACAGCAGAAATTAATTTGCACTTAGATTTTTTTGGGGGGGGAGAAAAGGAAATATGTATATATGGAAGCTTTTTTTCATTCACCATAATTCCTTAATTCTTGTGCTCTCTTTCTTTGATGCTCCTCTTGATTCAGTTAGCTTTTTTTTTTCCAAGCTGACATTGTCTGCTACCAAAAATTCTAGTTCAGAATAAAATCAGAATGCAGTTGTTCAACAGGCGATCACATTTTAAGAACCACTCTGAAACTTGCATGATGAATATTCAATTTTCCCAACGTTTGGAGGTTCCAGGTCTAGCAGTCATGTTAGACTTTCATTTAAGTTGTTTGCAGTTTGAGGCATGTCTATGAAATACACTTTTTGTTCACATGGGGGATGATTCAAGTCTACAGCTGTCACAAACAGTACATAGGACCTAATTCATGAAGTGCCTTTCAGTTGCTGCATTTCCACAGTAGGAGTAAATTAGAGGTAAAAAAGGGAATTGGCATGAAACATAAGATTAGAGTTAAAAAAAATCCTAGCAATATTATCTGAATGAAAAGCCACATAAAATATTTTGAATTAGTATTCTTGTTCTAGTCCCAATTTACTTTATTATAATTAGCTTTTGGTATAGCAGTTACATCTCACTAGTGATGATAAAATGATATAGATGAACTATAGAGTTTAAGTTCAATACATGCAATAATCCAGCCAGAGATCTGCAAAAATAGCTATAATGAGAATAACATGCTATTACCTTCTCCATACTGTTCTCTTAACAGTTAAGTCATCAGTCTACCCAAGTCTACAATGCAATGGAAAAGTTCCTTAGTAACTAAAACTGTAATCCCTCAAGAGACTAAAAAACAACAACCTCCTTACCTAAATCTCTGATGTTATCTCTTGGGCTGGGGTGATAAAGTCAAACACACCATGACCTTCCTTGAAGTTGTAGATGTATTTACTTTTCTCTGGACTGGACACTTTACCCCTTATGGTTCTATTATCCTACTAGCTGGAGTTACCCGGCGTTACTTGGGACAGTTGATATAACTGGGGTGGGGAGCCGGGGGAAGGGAGCTGTGTGCCTGCCGCCAGCGCCTGAGCCCGCCCTCCACTTCCTTGTCCCTTCGCTGGCCTTAGTGAGTGACTGTCCCCGCCACTTCCCCCAGGAAGCCACTTCTCCCTGCACTGCCAAGCTCCATGCAGCCCTGGGGAGAGGCATCTGTCTCTCATCTCTTCCCTCCCACAGTATCTTAAAATATTCACCTGGATAAAAAGGTTATCCCATGCAAAGTTTGGTTGTGGTAGCTCTTATAGTGTCCAAGTTATTAGCACACAAACATTCTCCTTTATATATTAGATTACTAGCTGGAGTTATCCGGCGTTGCTCGGTCTCACTCCCCACTGGCCAATTTGCTTCATCTCCCCGCCCCTCGCCAGCCCTGCTTCCTGCTGGCCAGTTCCCCTCCCCCC